TTCTTTGGAGAGAAACTGTGAGATTTGTCTCGACTGCAGCTTTGCCTTCACTCAGGTTATTGTTTCGTTTCATTTGAAGAAAGTGGAATTAAAACTGTTGTGATTTTCCAGTGTTGCTCCGCCTCTTTCTGCTCTACAGGTGAGGCTTTGTTGCCTTTCAGGTCTGACCGGATCAGTGACGTACGTTTGGTGTGATGGGAGAAATCAAACGTGAATTTAGTCTGGAGTAAAGCACCAAAGACTTGTCAGGGAACCTTGTGGTTACTGGAGACTTTGACTTAGTTTAATTTTTGTTTTTCTCAGATTAACGTCTATAACGTGCTCCAACAGTGAGGAACCCTCTGGTTCTTGTTAACATCATCATTTAAATCTGTACAATCACAGTACAATTACATTTTAAACCCTAAAAACACAATCTGATCCCTCCATTACACAGCACACATTAAATACTATCACAATATAATAATATAATAATATAATACTATAGGGCCCTGAGGGGAACTTCCTGTCTGAGTAGAGCTCAGGTTCTGTGTTAATGCTGGTTGTTGAAACACAGTAAATATTATCAGCTGTACTGCCTCCCAGAGACAGACAGCAGGAAGCTAGAAGCTGTATATGGGATCAAACTAGGGCCATAAAGAATTTGTACCTGTAGAAATAATTTGTGCCTGTGAAGCATTTCTTCAACAGACACTCAAATTTCCTACCTTCCATGTGCGACATTGAAGTTACAAGACACAAAATCTTTTTGGCCCTGAGTGAACAACCAATCAGCACGTAGCTTATTGACCTGTTGATATGATAACTGAGGTCAGAGGTTACTCCGATCTGCGTGGTCCAATCAGCCGCACTTCAATTTACAGCGTATTCACTTCCGGTTTTCAAAATAAAGGTAATAAGAACAGTAAGCTATAATTCGAAGTGTTTCATGCGCCCATGATGAATAAAAAACATACATACAACATACTCAGTCAGTCACTGCAGCAACAGGAGAGCAGTGGATGGGTAATGGACAGTTTATTGTGTGTGTTCATGAAAACAGTGGAAAGGTTTTACTGGTGAAAAATATCTCCTGTTTGTATTATAGCCAGTTTGTATCACTCATTAGCTTCATCACTGACAGTTTCCTGCCATTATTTAGTCCCAGTGTAGTTTAAATGGACAGATTCTGAACTTTGTGATCATTAGTCAACATTATACTGTGTGTTTATTGCTGTGTTTAGTTGATGGTTTAATGTCGGCCCCAGTTTGTGCCTCTCATGTATTACCATTACTAATGTATTACCATTACTAATGTATTACCATTACTAATGTATTACCATTACTAATGTATTACCATTACATTCAAGGCACAGAGCTAAATATCTGATTTTCCAACAAATGTGATTTTAAAACCCCCTAAAGGTCCTTTAACAACACTCACCACTGTTCTGAATGTACACAATCCTCAAAGACTCTTCTAACCATCTGGATGAACAAATATTCTGTCTGCTGCACTGAAATAAAATAGTTATAGTGATTTATATTGGGAATATTATTTTATTTGTAGACAAAATAACATGTAAATATTTTTAGTTTTATTTTACAAAAATAGCCAGGACATATGTAATTTCTGTTTATCTGGACAGGAAACAGAGTCACAACTTGGGTTTATTGATTAATAATTAATTATAAAATACTTCATTAATACTAGAATATTTACTATCAAAGTATTATCAGTACCACTGAGAGACATTTTCTCCTGTTTGCTCTATAATGTTCATGATTGTTTAATTCTTTACTTTCACTACATGTACATTGAAATGTCCATTAAAAAGCAACTTTTAATGTGATGAAGGCAGAGTCTGTAACAGGTTGGATTAATGTCTCACCACTAATTTAAACAAAATAAATTAATCAGAAAAAGTTCAAACTTTATTTTGCTTTTTACTATTATTTCAAAATGAAAACAGAGAAAAACAACTTTTATCTAATTTATGAAAAGGCTCTACAGTAATCTGTGCCAGTATGCAACACTTCTTATATATACAATGATCAGAAAATAAAAAGGTTTGAATTTGAAACCCAGACAATTAAAAATCATGAAAATAAAAATATAAAAAAACTTATTTCTGAGCACATTGTTTTTGATGATTTAACAGTGTTGAAGGCAGGTGATGCAGTTATTAGAATGAATTACACAAGATTAAATAATATCAATCAGTTTGGTAATATTAGTGTGTTGTAGTAATAAGTAGAAATGTGACACAGTAAAGAAAAGCATGGACAGAAATACGTAAAGAAAACACATTGATCAGAATCTGAAGAACGACGTATACGACGTCCATCAGCAATAATTCATTCCATTAAATCCACAGCTTCATGCATGTACCTCCCCTCACTCAGTATTTGTACGTCAGTAAAACAAGTGTTGAGAACCTTTTCTCTATCTGAAACATTTCTCACAGATTACATCAGAAGAAGGAAAATAAGAGTTTTAAACTGAGATGAAGAATCCTTTTGATTGGACCACAGCAGTAGATTAATGAGCTTCTCTGTGAGTCTCCCTTTTTAGAAGTAGCTGAAGTAGATTTCACAGATAAATATACATTTATTACATTAAATGATGTGAATCTTTCTGTAGAGAATCAAATGGTTGTTCTACTCAGTGTGATTGACAGGAGAGATGATCAGAGGGGCAGAGTTTGTACCTTTATTATTAGTACAGGGACTAAAGTATGGGTAGAGCTTTGAATA